CTCCCTCCGGTAAAACCCCTCTCCTGCATTCTTAGCCAGCTGCTTCTCCGCACACCCCTCTCGGTGCTCCATGTCCCTTCCCTCCCCACTTAAAACGTGGTTACAAAGCACGGATCCACATGGATCCTCAGGATCTTTGCATTGGGTCACCCCAAATTCAACATCAGATCACATAGCATATCCATGGCTACAGCCTGCACCAAAAAAATCACGCACCCACTGTTGCCTTGGGCTGCAATGGTGCAAAAACGTGGTTACAAAGCACAGATCCACATGGATTCTCAGGATTTTTGCATTGGGCTACCCCAAACTCACCGTCAAATCACATGTCTGTGGCCACAGCATGAAGCACAAAAATGATACATCCACTGTTTCATTTAGAATATTTTTTTCTTGTTTTCCTCCTCTAAAAACTATGTGTGTGTTACAGTCAGGTGCGTGTTATAGAGCGAAAAATACGGTAGTTAATATGAAAGCACAAAACAACCACAAAGAATCTTGAGGCAGGTTACACATTTATTCCAGTTCAGTCTTTGGTTATTGACATTTCTATCCCACAACCCTATCCACCTAGCAGACTGCCTCTCTCCCCTGGCCCTACAAGCCCATCAATAACATTTTCTGTAGAGACACTGGGGATTGTTCCATGACAGTTGTCACTTGTTGACAATGCAGAAGGAGGCCACCCAGAAGATACCAGATGTTGGTTGTAGTTACCGTATTTTTCGCTCGATAACACGCACCTGACCGTAACACGCATATAGTTTTTAGAGGAGGAAAATGGGGTGTGTGGAGAAGGAGCTTTTCAGGGAGGAAAAGAGCACTGTTGCTTTAAAGGTATACTTAAGGTATTTGCCCTGTGCCTGGGTTTTTTTTTTCCATTTAACAGTTTGCAGCCTGTTCCTTCTGTTGCTTGTTTTGAGGCAGAATAGATTTGAGCAAGTAAGGAGGACTTGGATTGCTGGGGAGTCGCCATTAGCTGTGTAAAAGCGCTCCTCCTTGCAGCCTTCTACTTTGTTTGTACACGTGGCTACTGGTATCAGTGATAAGCAGCCACCAGCAGGAATAGAATGGAGCACAAAAAAGTGATAGGGGCACTAGGACCCAGACAATGCTCAAATCTATCCTGCCTGAAAACAGCTGAGAAGTGGGGGATTTGCCTAGTTTCCCCCTCTCCCTCATCCCGTGCCCTCCCCAGCCTTTTTTTTTACTTCCTGGTTTTCACTGCACTCGTGACTGAGAGCTCCAGGTTGGTGTTTTTATTGCTGCTGGTTGCTTAAATTTTATCCTTCCTGATCCAAGCCCTCCTGTGGCCTGCTGTCCCTCTGCAGCCTTATTGCTCCGTTTAGAGCACGCGCGGACCTTTGCTAGCTGAGGCTGCAGCAGCTGTTGCTGGCTACTTTAAAAGCGCTTGCTTGCTTTGAACCGCCTGCCTCCTCCCAGCTCGCTATGGCTCCCGTCTGTCCCTCTTCCCGTGTAAGCGGCTGTTGCCCGCTTTGCTGCCATGGCTCTCCTTCCCTCCCTCCTCCCCGGCTCCTCCAAGCCGTAGGTCGCTTGAAAGCAAGCAAAGCGAGAGCCTCATAGAGCGTGTTTACTTTCAGAGAGCCCCTCTTCCTGGCTTTGCTTACTTTCAGAGAGCCCCTCTTCCTGGCTGTAAAGCAAACAAAGCTAGAGCCGTGCAAAGCCCTGCAAGCAGCTCCCGCTTTGCTTGACTGACTCTGATCCAGTGCATTCGCTCCGTAACACGCACAGGCATTTTCCCTTACTTTCTAGGAGCAAAAAAGTGTATGTTTTGGAGCAAAAATTACGGTAAATCTGCTGCAAAACAACAACACAAATGGAAGTGAGCTGGACGAACTTGACGAAAAAATAGGATTTTTTTATTTTTATTTTTTTTAATATCATATTTATTGAAATTTCCTAAAAATCCAAAAAAGAAAAAAAGAAAAAAGCAAACATTTACATTTAAGCCTTACTTTCAATAACATCTTTCCAGGACTTCCCCACACCTCCCCTTCTTGTATTCCATTTCCATTTGTTTAGTTCAACAAGTTCTTATCCCCAATTTCTGACCTTGTTATATTTAGCCCATTATTCAATTTAGTTCATTTTATAAAGCCACTTTTCCTTTATAATCCACAGTCTTTAAGCATTAGAATCTTTTTCTAAGGTCGCCCCCAATTCCCTTCCACGAATTCCCCTTTTTTATATTCATAACAAGACAAAATAAAGAAAAAAGAAAAGTTTAAAATATAATTGTACACCCTTTGGATTCCCAAACTCCATCCCCCCTTTCCCGGTTTCGATCCCCAATGTCCATCAGTCTATCTGTTATCAGCCTGGAGACCTCACGTCCGAGGCCCTTAATTCTCTCTCAGTTCCTCTTTGCCGGTTTTTTGGGTAGTCCTTTATATCAAGCACCAAATCTCGGAGAAGCTCTGTCTCGAAAATGTCCATTTTTCTTCCATCCAGACCTCTATATTTAAAAGTGGAATTCAAGCCTTGTTTCCTAATCCTTTTAAGTCTGAATGTCCCAAATGCTCCAACTTCCATCTTGCTCAACTTTGTAATCCATAGATCTTCAGATCTCCACACCAGGAGATCTCTCCAATCCTCATTGTCCAAATCAAACCAAATTTTCATGATCCAATTCTTGTTTTCCTTTATGTCCTTCCTAACAGGCCTTTGGCCTTCCTTGATCTTCTGCGGCAATGTGGCTCCTCCTTCATTCCCTTCCAGATCCTCATATATCTCTTGTTCCCTTTCATCACATTTCTCAGGTTTCTTTTCCTGCTCAGCTGCAAAAACTTCTAGTTCCACTACAGGGGCTTTTGGTTCAGAAACAAAAACTTGAGTCAAGTCCTTTCCATTTTCAATAGATATGTTTATTGTCTCCTTCAGTGTAAAGACCCCTGTAGTCAAAATATTGCTTTGTTGTTGAAGCTTTCCCAGGAGATAAAACGTCCTGTTCAACCCAGTGAGTATTTTTCCACTTACAGCCATTCTTGCAATGTCCCAAACCCCCTCTAGAGGGATTATGGTTACTTAGTATCCTTCCAGGTCTAACCCAAAAGTCAGACTAACTTGTTATTCCTTGTTTTCAACAATTATATCCAAATTGTATAAAATCTAACCAGCAAAGGCACCAGAAACAATGTTCTCTTTTTATTCCCCAACTTTGACAGCTACTTTGACAGCTGTCAAAATCTTTTGTATCTCTTCAGCAGGCTCTCTCGCGGATCACTCCCGGTTCCCGGGGGGTTGCACTTCAGCTCTCAAAATCAACTCTTATCCTCCAGCAAATTTACTTGTACTTTCCAGTTGTGAAATTAATAACTTTATCCAATAAAGAAAAGGTTATTCTCTCAACCTTAGTTATCTAGTCCTTGCTTTAAGTTGTTTACAAGGCGGGGAGATGGACTTCCTTTTTGCATCTTCCTCGATCGTGCCAAATTCAAAGTAGAAAATTTTCCTTTTAAGTCAAATTTCCGTATTACTCATGGGCTGTTGCTTTTAATCCAAATGTTCAAAGGAAGAAGTCAGTGCTCTCTGTCCATGGCATGCGGCTTCACTCGGCAGGGGAAGCAGAGGACTCTCAGCACCGCGCCGCTCCCCGTCCCCCGTTCCGTAGCCTTTAAAAAGGCTCCTTCGCGGGTCGGGGGCGCAAACGGTGCCCGCCGAGTCACCAAGTCCAAGGGCTTCTGCGCCCGTGGTTTTTGAGGGTCCCCGCGTCGCCGGCACGGCAGGACCCGACCCCTGCTGAGCAGATTCCCTCCGGAGCTCGGAGGGAATCCGCCATTAGACGATGGCGCTAACCCGGAAGTCAATCAAAAATAGGATTTTTTTAAATAAACAATAGACTGGCAAAAATAAGAGAAAGAATAGAAATACTTAAATGCCCCTATTAATATTAATGAAATTAAAGAAGGAATTGTGACTTCTAAGAATGGTAAAGTCCCTGGTCCAGATGGTATTTCTTTAATGAATTACAAAAAGTGGAAGAGACCATATTACCGGTGTTAGAAAAAATAATGAACTAAATTTTAGAAGGAGGACAAGTGCTAGAATAATGGCAAGAGGCCCTAATTACATTGATACTGAAATATGGATCCAATATAGAGTAAATTAAAAACTATAGACCAATCTCACTTCTAAATTCAGATTATAAATTATCTGCAAAAAATTTAGCCAATAAATTGAAAAAGATCCTGGCAAGCTTAATAAAGAAAGATCTGTCAGGCTTCCTGCGCGGAAGACAAATTTACAGCAACGTAAGATTGGTAGTAGATACAATAGAATACCTAGAAATGAGACCAGATAAAAAGGCAGCCCTGATCTTGGTGGATGCGGAGAAAGCATTGGATCATGTTTTGGGGGCATTCATGCAAAACATTTTGGAAATGATGAGTTTGGGTGAGAAAATATGTAGTGGTATAAAAGCGATTTATAATTCCCAACAGGTCAGACTAATTATAAATGGTGAAAGACCAGAAGCTTTTAATATCTCTAAGGGAACAAGACAGGGCTGCCCTCTTTCTCCTCTCCTCTTTATCACACTTCCGGAAGTGTATTTGAAAGCAATAAGAGAAGACCCTAGAATAGAAGGAATTAAAGTTTGACAAAGGGCCTATAAGGTCAGAGCCTTCGCAGGCAATCTAATAATTACAACAGAAAACCTTCTAGAGCAGCAGTTCTCAACTTGTGGGTCCCCAGATGTTGTTGGACTACAACTCCCATCATCCCTGAGCTCTGGCCTTGCTAGCTAGGGGTGATGGGAGTTGCAGTTCAGCAACATCTGGGGGCCCACAGGTCGAGAAACTGCTCTAGAAAGTACTATACAGTGGTACCTCGGGTTACATATGCTTCAGGTTACATAAGCTTCAGGTTACAGACAGTGCTAACCCAGAAATAGTACCTCGGGTTAAGAACTTTGTTTCAGAATAAGAATGGTAATCGTGTGGTGGTGGCGTGGCGGCAGCAGGAGGCCCGAATAGCTAAAGTGGTGCTTCAGGTTAAGAACAGTTTCAGGTTAATAATACACCTCCGGAACGAATTAAGTACTTAACCCGAGGTGCCACTGTATTAAGACCTCCCCATGTAAATTAGTGGATATTTCCTAAGGTTCCATATTGACTAAAGCTTCTCCGCTGTGTGAGTTTGCCAATGTAATGTAAGTTTATCCTTCCTGTTGAAGCTTTTTCCACATTCAGTACATTTAAATGGTTTCTCCCCCGTGTGAATTCGTTGGTGTATTCTAAGGTGTCCACTTTTACTGAAGCTCTTTCCACATTCAATACATTTAAATTGTTTCTCCCCCGTGTGAGTTCGTTGATGTATTCTAAGGTCTCCATTTTGACTGAAGCTGTTTCCACATTCAATACATGCAAATGATTTCTCCCCCGTGTGAGTTCGTTGGTGTCTTCTAAGGTGTCCACTGTGACTGAAGCTCTTTCCACATTCAACACATTTAAATTGTTTTTCCCCCGTGTGAGTTCGTTGATGTATTCTAAGGTATCTATTTTGACTGAAGCTGTTTCCACATTCAATACATGCAAATGGTTTCTCCCCCGTGTGAGTTCGTTGGTGTATTCTAAGGTGTCCACTTCTACTGAAGCACTTTCCACATTCAGTACATTTAAATGGTTTCTCCCCCGTGTGAGTTAGTTGATGTCTTCTAAGGTGTTCACTTCTACCGAAGCTCTTTCCACATTCAATACATTTAAATTGTTTCTCCTCTGTGTGCGTTCGTTGATGTCTTCTAAGTGTCCCATTTCTACAGAAGCTCTTTCCACATTCAATACATTTAAATGGTTTCTCCCCCGTGTGAGTTCGTTGGTGTATTGTAAGTGTTCCATATCGACTGAAGCACTTTCCACATTCAGTACATTCAAATGGTTTATCCCCTGTGTGAGTTCGTTGATGTTTTCTAAGAGTTCCATTGTCCCTGAAGCTCTTTCGATAGTCAGTACATTTAAATGGTTTCTCCTCTATGTGGATTCGTTGATGTGTCCTCAGTCTTCCACTGTGACTAAAGCACATCCCACATTCCATGCATTTAAACTGTTTCTTTGTTCTTCCCAATGAATTCACAGATGGCTCCATAGAATTCTGGCCATCATCTTCTTCACCTGTTTGGGAGTGGGGAGGAAGGGGAAGAGAATCCTGTTAAGACTTACAAGAAAGGAACCTAACACACGTCAATCGCAATATGCACCTTCTCCTATTTTAACACTCCTATTTTAAGAAGCATAATTGCCTAGGACCACGAGGACAGAGCACAGACATCAGTCTAATCCTCTTTTTTCAAGCTATCCAAATTGTTGGCCATCATTCCTGTAGGATGGAATTCCATAGATTAAAAATGCAGAAATACAACTAAGAACACTTTCGGACCACAAATCAATAATTCTTGAACTAAAAGGCGAGAAAAATACTCCATTTAGAGTATTGCTCATATTTTGGGCAATAGAATGAAAGGTGTTTTAGCAGAAAAAAATTCAGCACAATCAGGCCTGCTTTCTACCAGGATGTCAGATGAAGGAAAATATTGTTACGATATAGAAGCAATGCAGCTGCGAGCTGCTAGCTTGAAAACATCACATGATGTTGGGACTGTCCGTGGGAAACAGAGGGACAGTCAATTCAGTGCGAAGCACCGGAATTAGCTCAGAGTGTAATATGAGCTGTACAGGAAGTACAGGAAGTGTTTGTCACTCGACTGCTGGAGCTTGAAGAGAGCAGTCATGTTTTTTGTAATGCTGCAAAGACAGAAATAAAGGCATGTAAATACGTTTCTGTCTATCTCTTTCCCCTGCTGGGGGGGCAAGAAAGAGGGGGGGTGTTCTTCTCACGTTGAGAAGGATCGCCTATCACGACCTCTGCCTGGATCTCGCTGAGGAATGCAGACAGGGAGGTCAACAGGAGATCAAGCCGGATGCCTGGAGAGTTGCCAGTTACTACTCATATAGGCTTGAATCCCGACATCTGGTAGCACGGACCTGATGGCATCGATCCATGAAAGCAGCTAAGGAGGTTGATAGATCGTAATTCATCCTCTGCAAGGAGATAAAGAAAGAATGTGGTAGCGAGCGGATGGGAAGCTACAAAGGACAGCTGAGCACTGGAGGAGGCGTTTTTGCTGATAATACGAGCAACGAATTCCCTCAAGGTATGGTGATCTTATGGCTGTGAGAGTGAACGTGAATTGAAGCATTCTTCGGTTCACTGAGTGTCTGCTTTTGGATGAAAACAGCCCTGAGAAACAGCCCACATTTTTCGCATCCCTGAGGCTTGATAAGCTTTCTAATGCCGGTCAGCCAATGCCAAGTTGCTAAGCAATGAGACGTGTATGCTTTCAGCTTCCTCTAAGCTAGTTAGCTTGAAAGGGAAGTGGGAAATTACAAGCCAAGTGAGGCTGGGACTGTGAGAGGCTGGAAAAACACTGGTGTTTTGTCTATTATCTCACTGCTCTTGGAGGGATTTTCTGAAGCAGCCTGCGCTTAGCTGCCAGGTGCAAGGCAGTAAACAACCCAATAGACTTTTGGATTTTACAGGCTCGAGAGTGAGAGCTGAGGCTTGGATTCAAAATGGATACCAAGAAAAGGGGAGGCTTCCCTTACCCACCTCCAATTATTCCTTATGGTCTGTAACAATGAAAGCCCTGCTTCAGAATCAGAGGATTTTTGGGGTGATTGATAATCCCATCCCTGCTGCACCAACGCCAAGTTGGAATTCACAGAATGTGAGAGCCAGGACGGCCATAATTCTATGTGTCTCTGATTATCAACTTGTGCATATTCAGGATTTGGAATATGCGTATGAGATTTTGCAAACGCTGCATAGAATACATAAAAGAGATGCTGGTTCTTCAGCGTTGCTGCATTTTGAAAAGCTGACCAATCTAAGGCTAGCCCCTGATGGAGATGTCCAAGCGCATCTGACAGAGATGAAATTCTTACGCCAGCAGATGGCGCAACACAATTTCCCTCTAGAGGAAGAGATATTCTGCTTCATGATTATTAACAGCCTTAATCGGACTTATAAAACTGTTGCAAGTCAGCTGGGTTCTCTACCTGCCGCAGATCTTACGGTGGAAAGAATTTGTGCCCTGGTTTTGAATGAGAGACAGACTTGCTGCAATAGATGTCAAAGACAGGGGGACAGAAGCTCGGAGTTCTGACACCCCCACTGCTACTGCTAGTGAAGAACAGGCTGTTGCTTTGAACGTTGTCCGTTGTTACAATTGTGGACAGACTGGGCATCTTCAGCGGAATTGTAAGAAGCCACATCAACAGAAAGGAGTTAAGGGGAGCTCTGCAAAGCCTGAGGCGTCAGGCAAAAGTCGTACCAAGTCCCAGGTGAAACCTGCAAAAGCATTGCTGTCAACAAAAGCCAAATTTTCAACGGAGAACGCTTTTGTTCTTGACACTGGTTGCACGCAACACATGACATTGCGCTGAGAACTGTTTTCAATGTTTAAGAAGCAAAGCTTCACTGTGAAACAGGTCAATGGCCAGGAGCTGGAAGCAACCGGGTTTGGAACTGTGTATCTTGAGAGTCTGAACTTGACTATAAACAATGTCTATTTGGTTCCTGATTCAAAGTTCAATCTGCTGAGTGTTTCGCAGATCACAAAGAAAGGACTGATTTTGTCCTATGATAGAGAAAGCTGCAAAATCTTCAAAGATGGAGAGCTGTATCTGTCTGCCAGAGAGAAAGATGAACTGTATTTGTTGATTTTTGATCAAAGTGATTGCATAAATTGTAATGCATCTGAGTCCAACATGATTTCTCTTGCAGGTATGACGAAGGACGTCCAGAAGGCGACGAAAGTAACTAAAGCTTTTCAGCGAGTATATGCTGATGTGATTGGTCCTCTAGCACAGTGTTTCCCAACCGGTGTTCCGCTGCACACTAGTGTGCCGCGAGACGTTGCCTGGTGTGCCGTGGGAGGGAGGCGGGCGAGGCGAGAGGATCGGGCGCGGCGGAAGCCAGCCCCGCGCTTGGAGAGGACGCAGCAGCCGTCGCCAAACCCGATCCTCCTCCTCCTGCTCCGCCGCCGGCCGATCCTCTCGGCTCTCGGCCGGGAGGAGCCTGTGGCGACGGGGCGGGCGCCGAAGTTGGTGCGCCTCCTCGGGAGCGCCTTCGTCCTCCTCCTCCTGCCTCTGCTCTCCTCCGGCGGCGGGGGCGTGCCGCCGCCGGATCCGCGCGCAGCCTCTCGCCTCTGCCCCTCGCCGCGCCGGCCCAGCCAGTCAGCCAGCCAAGGGCGGGCGCGCTCTCGCTCCTCGCTCGCTCTATCCGTGGCCGCGCCCGGCGCCAGCCCCGCGGGACGACGCTGCGACGGGCGGCCCTGTGTCGCGAGGGGCGGAGCCCAGGGGAAAGGACCGCCCAGCAGGCGCGGCTGAGGCGCGCTTGCGTGGCTGGGGGGGTGTGCGCCCTCTGCTCTCTGCCTCTCTCCCCCTCCCCCCTCTGGACCCCGCGCGCGAGGCTCTCCGGGGGCGGGAAAAGGGTTTCCTTCAGGCGGAAGGTCCCGTGGGAGCCGGGAGGGGGGCAGCCGCTGCTCTGGCTCCCCCCCGCCCCGAACCGGCTCTTCCTTTCGGTTCTGGCGGGGAGCGCGCTCTCCCCCCCCTTGCGCTCCGCTTTCCCCTCAGAAGAGCCCCCTGCTCCCCGTAATCGAGGGTGATCGTGCCCAGGGGCTTGCCAGATCCCCCTCCGGCCGTCTCTTAGTCCCCACACGATCCCAGGAGCGCGACGTGGAAGTGTGTGGACACCTGCAAAGGTCAGGGATGCTTCTCAAACCGCCAAGAGGCAAAGCCAACGTCCCTCTCACCTGGCCCAGGAGTCCCAGATGCGCCAGTTCTCAACAACAAATGCATAGAACAGGGTGTGCAACCCAAGTGAATCACTATTTTAAGCCATTCCGGGGGGGGGAGATGCAACCCATTCTTAAATCTTTCCTACTGAAAATGACCTAAAAGTGTTACATTTGGACGGATCGCCCCCATAACTAATGTTGCATCATCTCACTATTTGCAGCAAGCATATACATTCTTTTCCACGGTTAACTTTTGTATACCTCAGAGCACCAAAGTTTATTTCCTAATTGCTTACTGATCTGCTGGTGAAGCAAGTTTTCTCTTGACTCCCCTTTGAACCATCAACATATCCTTTCATTACCTTCTATGCTGTTACTATTTTTTTTTTTTTTTTTTACATAAGTAAAAAGTGACCTTTCCCCATCTGGCATGGTGGTGTGCCTCGAGATTTTTTTCATGAAACAAGTGTGCCTTTGCCCAAAAAAGGTTGGGAAACACTGCTCTAGCACCATCTAGAGGCAATGCAAGATATTATCTTGTGTGTGTGGATTATTTCTCTCATTATGTGTGGTTATACATATTGCAGAAACCACAAGAAGCCTTAGAAAGGTTTAAAGAGTTTTGTGACAAAGTTAAAAATGTTTATGATGCTAACATTGATTGTCTTTTCACAGATGAAAAGCCAGCTTTTCTTTTACAAGATTTTCAGGATTTCCTGGATAAGCAAGGCATAAGGCACAAGACTGCTGTTTCTGCAGGAGCATGGGACAAAAGTGGCTGTGTGCAAGTGAACAAAGAATTGCAAAATGGGATGAAGGCGCAATTGCTGAGTTCACATTTGCCACATGAGTATTGGGCTGAATCTTTATTGTGCTTTTGTTACACTTGGTTGAGAAAGGTTTCAAAAGGTTT